GAATTCGGCAAAGTTGTCGCAGTGACGCGAAAAACGTTGAAACATTGACGGAAATTTCAGCAATGGTGTAGATGTCCCCGAGCATCGCTGGAACCAAACATATTGAATGATTGGAGGTGAATTCCGCAAACACTTATTCATTTTCACTTGTTCCACCTTTACAAATTTGGATTTGTTATTTAAGCAACAAGGGACCATGTGATGCACATGGTGAACCATGTAGCCACAAATTTTTGGCTTGATTTTTCAAAGGTACTGCTCACGATGGCGTTCTCGGGAGTTGTCCCTTCCAGAGAATTTCTGACAGTCTCTGTCACCATTGAAGCAACAAAAAATATTAGGTTGTCTTGCGAACAGTCGGAAGTCTTGAGACACAAATTAACATGGAAGACAGTGCGATTTCGACGTCAGTGCAAGTCATTGGAAAGTACGGAATTTGCGAATTCGTGCATTTCTTGGCGGATTGCGGAGTTTGAGCGATGCAGCAGTGCTTCAAACGATGTGCCAGCGGATCGAGCTATATGCACCAACGGTTCGAATAACGTACCATCTCTCAACAGTGTAAAGGGCGGGAGCACCTCTCGTTTCCACGTTGACTCTAGCAACCTTTTCGGGCTCACGTGGGCATAAGAGAGCGATAGAGCATGAGTGCATAACCGAGGGCTAGGTCAGTCGAGTGAAGCTCTAGCGCGAGCAAGGCAGAAGAATCAGTAAGATTACGGGCGTATGGAACATGGAGCACGAAACTGCCAACCGAAGGCGCTAAGAAGTATGGAATGCTTCACGGAGTGACGTAAGACCAATACGCTCTACCTGGTTTCCATGCTCTACCTGGGTGTGCTGTTAATGATGAAGGAAGCAAGTTCCAACAAGTATGAAACTTCTTCTTGATTCCTTGCTAGGAGTGTCAATTCAATGAGGTTGGAATTAAAACTATCAATCACCTCGCTGATTTTTCGCTGACGTTTTGAAACATGCGGCACATAGCATCGACTGTAAAGGTCTGAGTAGACATCTGAGACTCGTTGACAGAATTTGCCTGTAATAAACTCGTTCTGAGAAAGTTGTTCAGGATAGTTGAAGAGATGTTCTTCGACCCACATTCGATCCATGTTGTCCCGTTCGTAGAGTGCTTTGAATAAAGATGAATACAAGTACAAATCGAAGTGCTCTTCTTTAGCCACTAGCCGGCCTTTGTCACAAATCTTAACAAATTATATGCTGCCATGAAGATCTGCTATCGATTGAAAAATTACTGATCGCGGTCTGGCAGCGCAGGGGGAAAATTACTGATCGGGTCTAGGCAGCGAGGGGTTTAGAGTACAAAAGGAATAAAGTAAATTTACACTAAAGTTCCTTATCGGTGTCGCCAGCATTCTAACTTTCATTTTCAGATCGTAGTAAACATGAATGCTGCCAGCCAAGCCAGCGTTTTTATCCTCCAAAAGCTCCGCTTACAATTTACCGATACGAGAGGGATTAAAAAGGCTCGGTCGGCCGGCAGTGCATGATCCCTAGATTTGATCTTGGAACGTGCACGTGACAAGCAGAATAAGGTATCATACTAGGGCTACTTGACTCTACAGCACACCCGAGTCGACGATACCGTCGACAAGGGCGCAGCTCACGACTCCGGTTCCCACCCATGCAAACTAAGCGTTATATGAATATCAGAGATTCGCTAATCGTAGTGAAGCGGTGGTATAACGAAAAGTAACGCACTGAAGTTAGCAATGTCTTGGCTTAGGGAGTCATCACATGGGCTCGCTGGGCATCGAATTAACTCTCTAGATTCCTGCAAGAAAATTCTGGAACATGGCTTACCATAAAGGATGCGACTTGACTAACACTAATCTGTTCATTTTTCTCGAATGCCTGACCAGTTTGATAGAGAACGGACTGACTGCGAAAGTTGACCCTGCTGGAGTTTGGAAGAGAAAAAAAATACATACAAGGCAAAGATGAAGAGATTTCATACCAGTTGCGAGACGAAAATCAGCTTTTCTGGTTCGCTGATACTGTTAAACCCGTCGCGATGACGGCAAGTTTGTAAAAGTTTTGACGCGACCTCAGAAAAGTCTTAGTTCCAAGTATTTGGTTCACTTTTTCAAAAAATATGATTGCCTGCAGGAATCAGCTGATTGGCTCTTTAGCAAGCAGCAATGGCGGCTAGTAAGAACTCACCATAGGTAGCGTACTTGAGAAACTTTTGTCTGGGAAATGACGATGATAAGAATGAGCGAAGCGACTATAGGCAAAAATCTGATTGACCTCACAGAACCTGAATGATACATTTATTGCAGGTGGAAAGCTGTGACTAAACACTTTCTTCCACTCACCTCAACGATCGCATCATCCACACCAAACCTTGATCCTTTTTTGGTACAAATTTTGCGAAATCCGAGATAACATAGACCACTATTTTTTCCATGTAGAAATATCTAAAATTACAATGTTGACTTCAACGAAAAAACTTAATATTCAGCACCTCAATAAGAGCAAGAACTTCAGGTGATTTGGATGATGGCACCGTTCCTGGAAGCCGCGTTCGAACGGCTCCTGCCAACTTTCCGTTCGCCATCGTTATAGCCTTTTACGATGTCGTGAGACAGTTCCCGAATAACTATGGCCTTTCACTTGGCTATCTTGAGGGCGCAAGGTGGTGTAGCAAGGCTGCTTACCATGCTAGTCAGCCACGGATTTCAATTCTAGATCGCGAAGTTGTATAGAAGCAAAAAAATCGCATCAATAAAGGATAAAGGATAAAGCATTTGCCGTTGATCAATCCCTTTTTGGGATGCGGCACGCATTCTACTTCCATTTGTACATTCGCAGTGGCGTTTGAATGCGATGTGGCCTATACAATGACTTGCGGGGGCCAGCCGATGTTCAAGTCAGTGTTTTTATCCTCCCAGACAAGTCTGGTACCAATTAACCGACCCCGGAGGGATGGAAGGCTTGGTTGGCCCGGGCGACTCACGACCCAGGATTTGATCCCCGGACCGCTCGCGTGGTAAGCGTGCCACTTGCCACTACACCACTTCCGCCCTATCGTATAAGGTCGTATAATTGATATTAGAGTCTAAGGATACAAAGGCTGACTGGCATCGGCTACCTTGACTAAAGCTCTGACTAGACAAGGATGCGTGGCGCATCTTGGAAAGTCGATCATCGCTCAATGTATTGTCTTTAATCTCTTATTGTGTCGAAAAAGCGATAAGACTTTCAAAACTGGTGAAAATGAGGAGTATGTTACCTCCAACTACTCAGTGATGTTTATGAAAACCCACATTTTCAGGTTCAAAGGATTTTAAGGATCAGGATTGAATTAATATGGTAATCCCACTCAAATATGAAAGTAGAGGTGGGAGATGCAAGTTAGAAAAAAGCAAAAAAGTTGTGAAAAATAGGAAATACGAGTTTGCTTGCTCTACGCTGCGTAGAAGTCTGAGAGACAGGTACAGTGATGATAGACAGTGTCAGTCGCTGAGGGCGTAAGAGAAGCAGAGAGAGCCGATCAATATCGTGACGATAAAAATGGGCGGATCCTGATAGTTTTGGTGGGATTTGATCAAAGTCCTTTTCGCCTAGTGTCTTATCGTGAGTGAAGCGGTTCGATGTGCCGAGGTGGCACTACCTTTGCAGTGGCGGACCCACACCTCTATCCACGGTAGCAACTATCAGTGAGGCTGAACCCGGACCTTGCCTGTAAGGAAGTTTGAGTCTTTTCCTGAAAGGTCGTACACAAACACGATTTTTGCAAAAAAAAAACCCTCGGAAAGCTCGCTTTCACTACGTGGCCTTGGCCTGTAGTTTCTGAGAAGTAATAAATATGCACCTTGAGCGTGCTTATTAAATGCCTGAATACACGATAATATCTTATTCAGGTCCTTTATAGAGGGTTTTACGGTAATATCAACAAAAAAAAATCAAAAGAGAAATGCGAGAACCTGTGCAAATTCTAGAAAATGAACTAGTTTTTGATGGGCTCACCCTTGAAAGGTCCGGTCTGATCAGAATAACTTCGTCCATCTCATTAGTGCACAGCTCGTAAATTCGACTGCTCTCGTTAAATGGTGGTAACCAGTCGCTGAAATCGTATGTCCATACGGTAGCGGTGAGACCGGCCAACCATATCAGACGGCTCATCTATTGAAGAATCAGGAATAAGTCTGAAAATATGCTTGGTCTATTGAAGCTGACCGTTAAAAATAGCGCTCAAAAAGTTGGGGTAGATACTGGAAGAAAGAGAGGGAGAGAAAAAAAAGGAAGAAAAATGTCATAGATTCCAAGATATGATCCCATCTTTGCCTGATGATTGGTGCCTCAGTCTCATTGGTGCCACTTCCTTCATCGCTAGCACTCTCTCTGTCTTTCTCTCTCTCTGTAGAGAGGTCAGAGTCAGACGGCGAGGAGTAGCCAATATGTGGGTGGTCAGCGGCGCGAGCGGCACGGGTACGGCCCTGCTAGGCTGGGGTATAACGTTCGCTGCAAAACGCCGCATCCGCGTTTGTTAAAGGACCACCTTTCTATTCCGCAGCTCTTCTTTCTGTCCTCGATCTTATCGTGATCCCAAGTAAAAGCAACTTGCAATTTGCACAGATTTTGAACCTTGACATATCTGTTCCAGGACTGGCCCTTGACAATCACCGCGCCTTCTTAAATCAACAGTTCCACGTTATAATTCGCAGTTTACAAGCGATCGATAATGAAGTTGTGGATGTCTGACTGTTTATTAAATAGAAGCAAGGAAAACGGCCGATGAAGCCTCAAATGAGGACTCTCCCTGTTCTCCTGAAGTAGGAAGGGCCGAGCGGGCGAGTTGCTTGCGCGACATTCTGTCAGAAACCTTATTCGGTGGAGACCTGATTTCATTGTACGCCGCCGTAGACATAGCCTCCCAACATACAGCTTCTTGAGACAAAAAGCGGCGCAGGTTTGCGTAAGAAGCACTCCAGAATACGTAGTTGCTAGGGGATCAAATGAACGGTTTTCAAAGACGACGTTAAATATAATAGTTGTGAGAAAGTCGTCAAAAATAATGAAAATAACAACATTTCGTTTGTTAGATGCTACGTCGAAGCGCTTATGGACGTTGGGAGGGGGGGGTAGGATGAGTAGAGTGTAGGTGTTGAGGGATACGCACAGGCCTTTCTTCACCCATGCAGACAGGTGCGTCCACACTGCAGACTTCACGACACCAGTGACGACCTGCCTATTAAAAATCTGATAGATCAGAAGCTCAGTGACAGCTACTAATTCTGTAAGTGATTTATTGAACTGGTACCAATTATTAGGTTAAGCAGAAATTATCCCCCTTTTATACTGACTATGGCTTCGACTATTTCCTACTATTTCCGAAAGTTATGATGTGGTTTGAAAGCGCGCAATCTGTTGCCTATTTGAGTGTACAACATTTGTGAATGTGCCCAGTTAAAGTTTACACGCTGCAAAAATCATTGCCTCGCTGACATGGCGTGCAAGCTGAGCTCGAAACAGCGGCTGTGAATATCGCGTCGAGCATTATCACAACGGCTTGTCCGAGGATTTTCGCCCGGATCAGACTTTTTTTTACCGCGGGCCGGCCCTCTCTCGCACTGACATGTCACACTCGCCATACGCGTCAGTTCTGTTACCCCTCGCAATACGTTACTCCGCACGAGAGCCGTGGTTGAGGAATTCCGCGACGTTAGCACCCTGGCTCAAAAGCGATTGCTGCTTGCCATCTACTCTACAATCACCGAAGCTGTGGGTGAAGCCATTGCTTGCAGGAAATCTGTTGTGGACTGTTATTTTGATATTCAGTTGTTGTTTTGTTTTGTTTTGTTGATTAAACTTATACGTAAAATGAAAACGGCGGTTACATCATCCACTCCAAGTATAATACGTAGAATACCGTTAGAAACCAGTAGAGGGTGGGATCATACTTCGCGACCTTGCAGTTTCGCGATTTTGCGATCCTTAGGTTTGTTTTCATGTGTAGATACGTATCGATCGCACGATCACGCAGCCACAGAATCGCATGATCGGTACGTATTCGCTTCCCTCTAAAACTGCCAGCTGATCTGCCAAGTACCCTAATTTCGGTAATTAAGCCCGCACCAAGCACGTAAAATACAACCTTTGATTCGTCTGTAGCCGTGCTGCGTACACTAACAGACTAACCCGTAACTTTGGCTATAGAGGGTACATAGTTCGATGTCCTGGTTATGAAAATGACATTCATTTTCAATTTCCGCGCCAGTTGGCGTCAACTTGTCACGACACCTGTTTCACTAGATTTGGTGTAAACTTCCGTATATGTATTATTTGTGTCCTGATTACGAATAAATTCATTCGCATCTCGGCGCTGGTCTAGTCCGGCGCTTAGTATTTTCTGTTCGTATGCACTCTCCAACCGAGAAATATGCGTTGCAACATTAATGCCAAAAACGAATGTCATTTCCGCAATCAGGTATCAAGTAAGCCCTATACATAAGTTTACACCGAATTTGGTGAAAACAAGGGTCGCAACAAGGTTGGTTTAGGCGCGGTTTTCACATCACATAGACTAGGGTTTATCTACCGGAAATCAGGGTAGTGTGACCTGACTCGAAAATTCAGTGGAGGTCGTATCGCCATTCATGTGTGAAGTCTGTAGTGCCAGATGACCTACCTGTTCGCAGGAAAGGGCGACTGTGAAAGAGGTAGCTTCCAAAGCCAGGTCCCACTGCGTCTGGTCACATGGCCACAATTTTCGCACTGTGGCCAAGTACCCCACAGTTGCTCAGGATTGACCCACCTGGTTGGATTCCGGGCATCCTAATTTTGAAAAAAGATGCCTGTTCTGGAGTACTATTCGAAAAATCGAAGCGGAAATGTTGGGGTAATCGGATTAGAGAATGACGCTCGAACAGCAATACAATCAAATGAAGGGCGATTGAGTTGCGGGAAACCAGAGGTTGAAAATGGAGTAGGCCTCAACGGAACCAGCGCAGAAATCTTGAATTATTTTTGGATTTTCGAAAATTCCAAACCAAGATGGGAGAAATTGGATCAGCAATAGGTGAAAATGGAGTTGGAGGGGGCCAATCCTTTCTGCTTTGCGGCGTTGTCAACAAGGAGGGTGATCAAGAAATATAAGAAAGGATATTTCTAGCGGTAAGCATTGATAACAACCGGGAAAGTGTCCCAACTAGCGATCTCCAATCTTTCTTATTGCACATTTTCAGTGGTCCAAACACTTGGAGCTCCTCCCCACCCTTTTCAACCCTTTCCCTGGGCCCAGGCAATTATCCGGCCCACTTCAGGGGATCGCTTGTTCCGCGCAATCCCAGGCGGGATTAAGCTGTTCCTTATCAGAAGGTTTCCTATGTGGTTGTACGAGCTCTTTCTCACTAGCATAATGCGAACACCATTATGACCCTGTATCCTTAGGCACGTTTCATAGTGCGCGACTTGGCGAATTTGGATTGTTAGGCGGACAGGATACCCGGCATTTGTTGTAGATTAAGCGGCCTACAAGATTGGATACGTATCGATTGAAATCGCTGGAGAGTAGTAGATTAGGGCGAATTCGGCGAATCGATCAATACGTATCTAATCTTGTCAGCGCACTATCCTAATCTACTACTATCCTAATCTCCTACTCTACTACTATCCTACTATCGTAATATCGCAATCTACTACTCTCCAGCGATTTCAATCGATACGTATCTATCTTGTCAGCGCAATCTCCTACTCTACTACTATCCTAATCTACTATGTATCGTATTCTGCCCCTCAATGCATGTCCTCTTCATGGTCGCGTAATATAAGCCCGGATGGCCAAGCGGTTAAAAGTGTGGACTCATCGCTGCACCTCTGTGAGCGTTAGTTCGATCCCTGCCGGAGCTCTTAAATCATGCCCTGCAGGAATTGGAAAAATGGTTTTAGTACTAGCATCAGGCCCAGGTTGATAGGCCAGCTGATGAAGACCCCGTCACATCAAACATGTCTGCCGCGTCCTATCCCAATCTCCCATGTCGCGAACTATGAACGCGGCCTTAGAGTTGCAGAACAAAATAGAGTTGCCTCACCTTTAGCACACACAGACACAAAAAGCAACCTTGGACAGTCCTTAATACTAATCAAAAACACTCTTGGTTCGTGTAGTCCATTTTGCCCAGGTGTTTTAACGGGATCAACTGTTTTGTTTTCTCAAGAAATATTTTCAAGCGCTCACAGTCAAAAGATGATTTAAAAATAGAATTGCGCAGATGTCTGGCACACGGTAATTATTTCTCCAGAGCAAATATAACGTACAACAAATAATAATAATAAAGGGTTGGGAACTGAAAGTGTTCATAAATCGTCGGCTAAGTTATGTTGGATGATAAGCCCTCACTCAAGACCGAAAATTAAACGGAAAAAACGGAAACGGAACGGAAAAAACGGAAATTCCCAGAGCCTCTTTTGTTTTGTTTCACCATTCAAAGAAAATATTCGAAAATAGTGAAATTAAAGGCTGGCGTCCCAGAGAAGGAACATTTAAGCTTTCCGGGATGAGCCATGTACTCATCTTCCATACAAATTTATTGGCATTTGAATACTGCTCGGCTTTCTAAAATAGGCAGCCAGACGCTGACGCCACACACGTACGGCCCCGCAAGGCGAGTGTGAATGCCGGCGCGGAGAGCGGTCAACGTCGGTCCAACGTCGGTCCAATGTCGGTCCAACGTGACGGTTGACCCTGGATAGAATGCTCTCTGTTCTGAGCGAGATTCGATCGGAGGGTCAACCTCCAAGCAATCAGTACACATGTACAGAACGTACAACCGTAGTTCGTCGGTATTCTTATGCCCCCCCCCCCCCAAGCGCTCCGCTCAGTTCCACTGCTCAGCTCTGCAAGCTGCTAGGTTGTTATCATGTATGAGTGCGTAGCCTGCGTGGACACGTGGCGGAACTTCGAATATACACTGCGTCCCATAATTATACGTCCACCTAAGAATTTCCCAAAATCTCAGAAATACAGATGTTTCGAAAAAAGTCTCCTATGTGACAATGTATCGCATATAAATACGCAATTGCCTATGAACATCAATTTTCTATTTGAGATCACAGGAATTTTTCCCAATAATTTTTGTGTAAAAGGCCACTCAGCCGACGTCCCAAAATTATACGTCCACCTC